GCAGTGCGGCACTGAGCGTTTCTCACAGCGGACATTTTGACCCAAGTGTAAATGGTAAATGATCTGTACTTGTATAGTGCCTTTCTAGTCTTTACGACCACTAAAAGCACTTTTACACTACATCACATTTAGCCCATTCACACTATGAGGCAGAGGCTAAGGCGCCATCTGCCATCAGAAACAGAACTGCTACTGTACGTCAAAATGGCCGCTGTGAGAAAGGTTCAGGTCAGTGTGAGACAGCTGAGCTGTAAGCTACTGGACCACAACACATGATGCACCACGTGAAGGTCGTGCTTGCAGCTTTTCCCACTGCTGAAAAGAACCTGGCAACTGCGGACTTCTTTGGGGGTGAATTGAAGAGGGCATTTATATGGATTTTCAGATACTTCACAACAGCATCATCAAAAGATGTATGGTTTGATGCCATTGCAGCCTCCAGTATCTTTCTTGGAGAGCCAAACTCCCGGTCAAGGTCTTTAATCATGGCTTTGTTGACTATTGTCATGGAGTTCTTGGTTTTTCTAACAACAGGGCCAGTGAATTTGATCTCATCCACTACCTTGTCTGACAGACGCTTGATGATGGCGTTGACGTCTGCCATCTGCATGGACCTTTTGGTTTTCAAAGGGGCCTTTGTGACAAGCCTCATGAGCAGGTCAGTGATGAATTTGCTGGTCATCTGCTCTGATGTGGAAGAAGAGGAATCATTTGACACTGCGGACAGATCCCCACCTTCACGCACTGGAGTACAGGTGTAATTGATTGCTCTGGGTTCAGAGGTTACTTCTTCAGGAGCTCCTGAAGTCACCTCGACATTGCATTTGCGCAATTGCTGACTGTCAACATGAACCCTGACATTCAAGTTCTCACCATCAAAATCCATGCAGACGGATGCAGAAACTTCATCATCATTAATAGATGATATCTTGAAGTCTGCCTGTTGCTGGCTTCAGGGCACTCCAGCCTGATAGGGGCATTTTCTGGTGGTGGGGTCAGCACTGTTGTGATTAGGTCTTTGATGTCAGTTAAGGCACCTACCACTTCATCGCTGATCTCCATCCAGAGCAGCAGCTGCTGCAAGAACTTTTGCACTGCGTCCTCTGTGGCGGTATATGCCTTCGTCCTGACAGGGGCAGAGGCACTTCTCACCCTTTGGACCGTGGGAATCTTATATGTCTGGCGAGCCATCAGATTACCGTATATTTTGTCAGTCAGCTCCTTTGAAAACTTCATGATCACGCCCGTGGATTTGATGTCTTCCAGCGCTTTGTTGGATTTTGCTGCAGCGTTCTCTGGAAGGTTGAATTTATTAAACAAGCTTTCAACATCTTTTTTGATGTTCTCAAAATCTAGTTGAGAAAACTGCTGCTCTCTCATGCTGATCAATGTGGAGTTGCTGGTTGGATCACTAGATGCACGTCTGGGCCTTGGAGAATAAGGAACAGTTCCTGGTAAAATGCCATCAATAGCTTCTTCAAAGTCATCCTCTTCCATGGGTTTAGGCTGACAGGAATCTGGGTTGGGTCTCACAAGGAAGTCTGCGTGTTTTGTCTTCAGCTCGTTCATCATTTTGACAAACTGTTTTTTAGCAAACTTGAAAAAGCTGCGTTTGCAAACTGCTTGGTCGGCACTGGCGGTACCTTGTGAAGGTGCGGCCTGTGAGACAAGAAAGTCTCTCACTTTATCAAATATTAACCCAATATTAAAATGAGGTCTTGGTGAGCATCTTTTGTCACTGCTGCTAGCTACATCTCCCAAGTCCTGAGAATGCAGGTCATCTAATACAGTTTTGACAATGTCAGATGCTACATTATGAGCTTCCAGAGAGGTTCTGGGAGAAAGGACAGCATTTTCAGCCTCTTCTGTAAGGTCTCGTGTCTTACTGGACCATTTGGCAAGGATGTCAGTCACAGCTTCAATCACTGAGGGGATGGAGATCTCGGATTTTACGCTCCGAGGCAGTTCACATCTCTCTGGTTCCTCTATTTCCATAATCTCTTCTGGAGATTCAGAGCTTTTGTGTGGAGCATACATATTTTCTGCACTCTCACATTTGTCTTGTGGGACTTGAAAAGCACAAGCAATGCTACCAGGGAGGGAGTCTCTGAATTGAGTGTTGAAGTTCTCCAAAACTGTACTCACAGCAGCCTGAGATGCACTCTTTTGCATGTGCTCCTGAAACACTGTCATATTTGTCAAGTTGTCCACAGAGAGTATCCCATCAGCCACTGTAGCTTGTGTGGCTGAGTTCAAAGTCCCTTCAGCTAACATGTTCCACTGTGCTGTAGATATTCTTGCAAAATGTTTTATTACGATGGGCAGAAGAGGTGTGATAGTGTTGTCCATCTGGAAACCGGTTTGGTCCATTTTGGTATGTTCTGTTCACAAAGCTCTGCTTTTCTTCCGTTTATTTGAAACTTACTGTAAAGTGTTTAGTAATGTGTAGAGTAAGTAATTTTCGTGGAAATTGTATCTTGCTTAATGTTTTCACTACTGTCTACCTCACTATGGTTTCTGACTGTGGCCTGGAAGTCCCTTGTCAAGAGTGAAAACTGAATGTAGAATGTAGTTACCAGCACACTTTATATAGTCAGGACTATATGACATCACGTGTATTGATTCACATCAAAGCACAGCGTCACACATCAAAGGAATTTGAATTTAAACACAAAGTCCTGCAGGCAGCCACAAATTTCCCTTATTGACTTTATTGAGAACGTCAGCATATACATACAACATATAAAGACATTCATCATTTCATTGTCCAGGGGTATAAAAATAATTGAACATTCATTACGATCACAGCAATTAATCATTTACAACCAGCGCCGATCACGCGTCAGAGGCAATGGAACTGGAACACAAACCCACGCGTGCAGCAGGCGTCTGCACACGCAGCAATCAATCAATCTTGCACGAACCAGCCAATTAGCTGCAGGACTTTTTATTTCTTAGCTACCGTGTGGAAATAAATTCTCAAATTGAATCGAAATATGTTCTCATACGATCACCGATTGTCATATGCCAAAATAAATAAAGTGTGAATTAATCTTATCTTGTGTGGTCAATAAATTATGCCTCTCCTCTGCCAGCACTGCCTAACGTTATAATGGTTACAGTATCATTTTTTGACATTAAACAGGCAATCAATGCTGTCAGGTCAGTATCAAAGCCATTATTGGATAAAATACTGTAAAATTCGCCTTTTTTACAATCTGTGCGCACGAGTTTAGCGGTTCATGATTTCGGTAGAAACAAGTCTGTGTCCAGTTTAATTAAATTTATATTATTAAATGATGAGTGCTCCTGACAGTAGGGGGAAGGTTCAAAGTACTAATGTAAGAAAATGACAAGCCTGTTCTGTTGACTTGCACTGTGACCCAGGAGCAGATCACTTTTTGTAAATAATGAATGCCCTTTACCAATAGTTTGCAACTTGTTAAGTAATACTGGTCATTTCATTTTATTTTATTTCAACGTGTTTTGGTCTGCTGTACCTTTTATTGTCCAGGAATTTATTTTTGTAATGTACAGAAGATTAAAGTTTTCTAGTTGTCTGTATGTGTGTGTTTTAAAATACATTTTTTTACTGATATTTATTATGCTATACGGGCATTCAGCAAGGTATTTTTAATGCATTAATAATGAATTATTGTCTTACTGAATGGTTTCATAAAGCAGCTTTGTAGTATATTGATAGCGGCTCTTGGAGTATACTAGTAAGAAACTAATAATCAGAAATGTTAATAATAATGTTCAAAACATATTTAAGCTGTTAGCACAAAAGTTTAAATAAGTATATTTAAATTAGAGTAAATTTATTTAAAGTTGTTCCATTTTAACACAGCTAAGTATATTAAAATATATTGCAATTATTTTAAAGTTGAGTTTAAGTATTTCTAAAAGAACACTTAACATACTTTAAGTTGTTCCAAAATAACACATTTAATATACACTTAGTATGGTACAATTAAAATGTGATAAGTGCATCAAGAAAAAGTACAACTTTTTCACCGGGGACTTCATACAGCAGGTCCAGGTGACTTCTGGCTGCAGAGTCACTACATATTAATATTTCCTTATAACTAATTTGTTCTATCCATTCCAAAGTCATCAATATTGCCAACAGTTCAACTGTAAACACTCAGATTTTCAGATGTTCTACTTGATAAAAGAACAACAACTGCAGACTCTGTTGCATCTGTTTGCATGTCCTTTGACCCATCTGTAAAAATCTGAATACTTTCCTTACTGTCCCTATAGCTATAATATACATAGTTAAATCAGCAGTTTTATTATTGCATTTAATCTTACGTAATTCCAAATCTACCCATGGTGTTTCTAATTCCCGACAGGTCTAATAGGCCACACCACATTTGCGCCAAACTCTTTATCATACTCCTGCGTCCTTTGCCATTTGATCTAAATCTTGTGTTTTGTGTCGTCTCCTTCTCCCAGCATGTCCGCAGCACCCTTTTTGCTGGATAGCCATCTCCATGCCCTCTTAGAGTGATCTAGTAATTAGCCCCCAGCTGCTTCCGCCTCAACCACAGTGGCATTTCACCTGCTTCAACTTGGAGAGCACATACAGGTCCTAACCGCTCCTAAACAAATGTTTGTACACAAAGTGCTGTCCAACAGATCAAACAAAACAGCTAACCTGGCTAGTTGTAAACAGCTGGCCGAGCGAGGTTTTCCAACTTGTTAACTGGAACGCTGTCAATCCCAGGTCTACAGCCTTGCAAGTCCAAAATTTATGTGGACAATCAGGTTAATCTACTGAAAAGATTAGGCCATCCTGGCAGCAGCTACTGAGTTGAATTGATGCAGTTGTGTGAACTCTGAATGCTCCTGATTGACAACACATTCAAGTTCTGAATGAGACGCGATAGGCCTACAGGGATTCGTAAGAAATCAAGTAACGTCAGTTTAGTGCCCTTTTCTGAAAGATCTCAAGTCAAGTTTTATTTAAAGCAGAGACAACAGGGAGGGTACATGCAAAAAGACAGTCAAAAGAAGTCTTGCATATGGTCCACCAAGTCCCAAACGTTAATTGCCTCCTAATGTGACCATGCCAGACACAATCAGGGTTGCGCTGGGGCCGCCGTCGTGGGCGCTGGGGTCGTCGTCGTCGGGGCCGCCGTCGTCGGCGCTGGGGTCGTCGTCGTCGGGGCCGCCGTCGTCGGCGCTGGGGTCGCCGTCGTCGTCGCTGGGGCCGCCGTCGTCGGCGCTGGGGCCGCCGTCGTCGGCGCTGGGGCCGCCGTCGTCGTCGGGGCCGCCGTCGTGGGCGCTGGGGTCGTCGTCGTCGTCGGGGCCGCCGTCGTGGGCGCTGGGGTCGTCGTCGTCGTCGGGGCCGCCGTCGTGGGCGCTGGGGTCGTCGTCGTCGTCGGGGCCGCCGTCGTGGGCGCTGGGGTCGTCGTCGTCGTCGGGGCCGCCGTCGTGGGCGCTGGGGTCGTCGTCGTCGTCGGGGCCGCCGTCGTGGGCGCTGGGGTCGTCGTCGTCGTCGGGGCCGCCGTCGTGGGCGCTGGGGTCGTCGTCGGGGCCGCCGTCGTGGGCGCTGGGGTCGTCGTCGGGGCCGCCGTCGTGGGCGCTGGGGTCGTCGTCGGGGCCGCCGTCGTGGGCGCTGGGGTCGTCGTCGGGGCCGCCGTCGTGGGCGCTGGGGTCGTCGTCGTGGGCGCCGTCGTGGGCGCTGGGGTCGTCGTCGTGGGCGCTGGGGTCGTCGTCGGGGCCGCCGTCGTGGGCGCTGGGGTCGTCGTCGGGGCCGCCGTCGTGGGCGCTGGGGTCGTCGTCGGGGCCGCCGTCGTGGGCGCTGGGGTCGTCGTCGGGGCCGCCGTCGTGGGCGCTGGGGTCGTCGTCGGGGCCGCCGTCGTGGGCGCTGGGGTCGTCGTCGGGGCCGCCGTCGTGGGCGCTGGGGTCGTCGTCGGGGCCGCCGTCGTGGGCGCTGGGGTCGTGGGCGCTGGGGTCGTCGTCGGGGCCGCCGTCGTGGGCGCTGGGGTCGTCGTCGGGGCCGCCGTCGTGGGCGCTGGGGTCGTCGTCGGGGCCGCCGTCGTGGGCGCTGGGGTCGTCGTCGGGGCCGCCGTCGTGGGCGCTGGGGTCGTCGTCGTCGGGGTCGGCGCTGGGGTCGTCACATTGGTGAGGCCCGTTGTGTTATAGTCTGACAACACAAGCAGCGTATTAAGTTCTTACTGCATCCATCATGCTATAGGCTAGTAGGCCATCTAGCCAAAATATAGTTTACATGATTTTGAATTATGAAGTAGGCTTAGGCTGATCATCAACTGTTGTAGAGCTTGTTGTGTAGTTTTTACTGTGAAATGCCAGTAGCAGGTTTATTAAACCCTACAAGCATGAGACAGAATCTACTCACCTCCATCAGCATCTTGTTGCAACAAAAACTCTGTACAGAAGACATTAAAAAGCAAGTTAGTGTCAGTATGTAGCTCTGAAACATTTTAATCACCAGTGTTCTTACCTCTCACTCTCTGCAGCTCATCATCCTGACTTTCTGTTGTGCCTCCAACTGGCAAACCAGAGCCTATAGGACAGCACACGTGCCGTTATTCACCAGCACTTTGTTACAGCTGAATGACATTTCAGGAATTTTCAGAACTAATGGGAAGGCATAGCTTACGCTCGTAGCCACAAGATTTCTGAAAGAGTAACCTTACTTTTACATTTGCTGTAGGCTACAACACTACCAGTTTGTAAACACAGCCTATGCTTTAAAGAGGAAAAATATAAAAAATAAACCTTTGGTAAACCACACAGTCAGCACGCAAACAAGCAAGGCCCGCAGAGCTCCCATTGTTCCAGTCTCTAAGTGAAAATGCCACCTGTGCCACATGTGGGGTTTAAAAAGGCCTGTTGTGCTGGTGACACGGCTGTTGCTGATCAGCTCTAATTGTCGCTCACCTCAGTGGAGTCTGTGGGCCTTTCTCATTTCTCAGTTACAGCATCTCTTTTACCTCTGTGTACATTCAATGACTTTTTGGACTATTATATTATGTGAGTGTATAAATATCCGTATTCTGAACATGATAAATGTCATATTGAGTTAATTCTAAATGTGTTGATCTTACAGGGTACGGTCCATATTCATTAGTCACAAAATAACAAAGGCTACCGCCAATTTCATTGGATTTGTATATGAATTTAAAGAGTTGGCTATGTTAAAACTCGTAAAGTCTGAAAAATGTAGGTAAACTGTCAAACTGTACAGCAAAGTCTTCCAAGAGAAATATTTATTTTTATTTTTTTGTGTTATTCTTTTATTTCTTTATAAAAGTTTTCCGATCTGTGTAACGCTGTGTTGAGCACATGTCTGCAATGTTTGTATATCTGTTCTTCTTACTATAGTTTTGGAATGACATAAGCACACTACATAATGGGCAGTATTATTACTAGATGACAACATGAACAGCAAATTAGTGCTAAATGCAAGAAGATGATCTTTTTGATATTCTAATAATTTGACCTTAGTAGCTGCTTGCACTCATCAGGTCACAGTTACAGTAGTTGAATTGGTGTGATGTGCAGATTGGCTCTGACATTATCTGAATCAGCATGTATGCATTATTCATCCACCTGCCCAAATATTTCTTAATATTTTTAAAATATTTACTGGATTTAGAGACCCACACCCGCATGGACAATTCACTCCTCTGGTCCATTTAGCTTTCCAGGTGATGTCTTATTGTATTGACGTGTGAGAGCAAGGGTGCAGCACAGGGTCCTCATGTGAGGAGGGCTCACAGAGATACTAGAACAAATAGCCGTGGATGCGGGGAGGGGCCCATAGAGGATGCTTATGTACAGGGCCCCGATGTTTGTGAAATGTCCCTGCATGAGAGTTTGCTTTAACGATTCACTTTAATGATTAGAGAGGCTGCTGTCAGTAATTTTAAATGTTACAATTGGTAGGTTTCTACAGTAGCCCAGACAGAGAAAGTCTCTACAGAGCGCCATTACGTCACCTGGGGAGACCGGGTCTGGCTGTAACATGGAGAGAGTTGTAACAACACCAATTCCACCAATTAGAGATAAGATAGGAGTTAGGTGATCATTTCAGTGTTTACCTACTTCCTCATCCAGATCAGGCATGTTGGTTATCAAATCTGGAAACAGGTACATTTAGAATATGTAGAGAAAAAAATGATTTTTAGAAAATCAGAAAGTAAGTTTTTTGACCAAGACTATATTTTGTCCTCCAGCTGGGAGGAGGCCTCGGGGAAGACCCAGGACTAGGTGGAGAGATTATATCTCCACACTGGCCTGGGAACGCCTCGGGATCCCCCAGGCAGAGCTGGTTAATGTGGCTCGGGAAAGAGAAGTTTGGGGTCCCCTGCTGGAGTTTCTGCCCCCGCAACCCGATATTCAACTAGGGAATTTCTTGATTTTAATATTTTACAGAGTGCCCTATGCAGTCTCTGGGCCCACCAAGCCAGCACTCCAGGGTTACCAGCATTCATTTGTCAGCACAGTGACAGTACTTCCCATTCACATGTTGTTCACATGTTGGCATGTGTATTGGCACTTTGTCTTTTCCATACTGTGTCTCCGCCCGTGGAGAGGGCAGAGAAGCGTACAGGCAGCTTGTGAGAAATTACGGTGCACAAGAAAATGTCCCGGTACGCCAAAGAGTGAAATATAGAAGTGCTTGCACTGTGTACCAGTGAGTACCGGCCCACTTCAAGCACTGACTGTGACTCTGATTTAGAATTTGCAAATATTGACACACAAAGACACACACCTCCTTTTTGTTAGACCTAAGGATGTACAAAGATGTTCTTTCTTTAAGTACATTTTAGTAGTATTTATTATGTAAACTGTTCGCGCAAAATCACGTATTGCGTATACATATTTTCAACTTAGTGTTGAAAAGTGGTGTGAATATAATGGCTCAGATTAAGGGTGTGAAAATACACTTAACTCATGAGACGTGACGATATTGGGGTTACGAGAACTAGACTAGAATATATTTTAACATTATTTAAAAAAAATATTCAGTGCTGAAATACATGATTCGGGGTCAGGCGATTTTGAGCATGAATCAAATAATAACCTGCATTCTGCAGATTTTGTCTGCAGCAATTTATGGAAATTTATATAAAGGGAAACACAATGCAGGTGGCAGGTTACAATTCAAAATATAAATATATAATGGAATATAATGCAACAATCAGTAGCTTGTTTTTTTAGCTTAAGTTACTTTTTGGACAATGCACATTCCTTTCTTATTATATTTATTATATTTATTTAAATTGCATTGCGTGTTTGTTATTGTGCAAATAAACCTTTCTCACAGTATCTCATAGTTTTTTCATTATTTAGCGTTGCAAGCTAATTTTCAGAACATTTTTAACAAATGATGCTTTTAAAAAGTGATGTGGACAAAATCAGCCATGTGAAAAGTAGTGGGGACATGTCCCCAGTGTGTAATTTGTAATATGGTTATGACGGTTAGTTTGCTATCCATATAGAGTGAACTAGATGTCTGCATGTTTACATGCTCTGTGATGCTAATCCAACACATCTTTGTAGTAGCGTCCATGTTGATTCCACATTCCAACTTAAGAGCACATGAACACCATGAAGTCGGAAGAACCACTTCACAACTCAGAAAATGGGACCATCATGCACCATGAGCCGCAGGGTGGAATTCGCAACCCTCACCGCTAGATGCCACCTAAACACTGAACCTTTAAGCTTCTGAAACATCGTACATGTTTAGACGGTCTGGTGGAGCTCAGAATTTATCAGGAGGACGGCTGCTTTACGCCAAACAGTTTCACTGGATGAACACGGACTGTGTGTGAGACCTTTTGGATGCGTAAGAATGCAGGACAGTAGTTAACATTAGATCCTGATGGTGCAACCAGAGGTACAGGCGGACTCCTGGAAAATGTACAGCGGTTTTTAGTTCTGTAGGTTACTTCATAGAACAAAGCAGCTGACAAAACCTCTTAATCTGCCTTCCAGTCTCTCTGCTGCCTAAATCTTCTAGCTACAACTACAAATTGCTGCTCAATCACAGGCGCTCCCTAGTGTCAGAAACTGTGCTGCTCATTCCTATACATATAATTCTGTTATTGTATAAAACAACACTGCAGCACTCATTAACAACATATTCAGGAAAACAACCTTAACAACATTAACAATCTCTTGACTGTCAGTTTAACTGCTGTGCCTGGTATGTAAATGCGCACAGCATTCCTCTTAACGGGGAGACGCTTTGCTTCCAGCATTGTGCTGGCCTCCTAGGCCTCCGGGTCCAGCTTGTGTTCAGTGATACTTTCTGCTAGATGCTGACTTAGTTGATCTCTTAGCAATTCTTTCCCGTGCCACCTCGGCTAGATCGAGACAAATGTTTATTTCACAAGTTCACCTGATATATTTCCTTCTGGATTCGGGTGAAGTTTTTAATTCAACAGATTTGGATTCATAACATCAGTATCTACAGACACTCTGTCCACCCATTTGTGTTAAATGTTCACAGTATGAAGAATGCTCAAAAACACCATAGAGCGCAAAGCTTCTGGAACCACAACTAGGGCCTACTCTTCAAAAACAGAATAAGTCAAAGCAGTTTACTCTTTTAATAGTCAACATTTGTGAACACAGTCACTTAGCTGTGCTGTGCTTCCATGTGGTTGAACTGTAGGCCTACATTTCCCCAAGCAGGCTACCAAGTAAAATTACTGCAAGCCTGTTTTCTTCCTGGAATATCCGTTTTTGATCAGACCAGGTCCAATGTAGTCTACATGTGCAAAAGAGAATAACGTCTCACAAATCTGAAATGGAGAGAGAGAGAGAGAGAGAGAGAGGAATAGAGAGAAAAAGAGAGGGATGGAAGGAGACAGAGAGGGGAGGGAGGCAGCCTACACAATATACACACACACAGAGGTACAGACAGTGAAGGTGATGTTGCTATAGACTAAATGAAAAATGGTACAGATATTTATAATAGTGTTAATGGTAACAATCGTAATGTTAATGATTATAATAACAATAATAACAATAAGACTAGCAACAATAGTCGTTGCAGCAGAGGGTGTCGAGCAAGAACACGGGGGCAGCAGGTGACCCGCAACCACAGATCCAGACTCCACAGCTCCAGAGCCAGAAAACCTGCAGGAAGTGATAGGAGAGAGGAGAGAGACGAGAAAGCACAAGACTACCAGAAAGGGGAGAAGTTGTGTTAGTAACATGCAATAATGGGATGAGGTTGCATACAGAGGGAGAGAAAGTAGAGGAGAGAGGAGCTCAGTGCATCATGGGAAATCCCCCGGCAGTCTAGGCCTATAGCAGCATAACTAAGGGATGGTTCAGGACTCACCTGAGCCAGCCCTAACTATAAGCTTTATCAAAGAGGAAAGTCTTAAGCCTACTCTTAAATGTGGAGATGGTGTCTGCCTCCTGAACCCAAACTGGAACCTGGTTCCACAGGAGAGGAGCTTGATAGCTGAACGCTCTGGCTCCTAGTCTACTTTTGGAGACTCTAGGAACCACAAGTAACCCTGCATTCTGAGAGCGCAGTGCTCTGGTGGGGCAGTAAGGTACTATGAGCTCTTTAAGATAAGAAGGTGCCTGACCATTAAGAGCTTTGTAGGTAAGAAGAATGATCTTAAATTCTATTCTGGATTTTACTGGAAGCCAATGCAAAGAAGCTAAAACAGGAGAAATGTGATCTCTTTTCCTGGTTCCTGTCAGAACACGTGCTGCAGCATTCTGGATCAGCTGAAGAGTCTTGTTGGACTTTTTCGAGCAGCCTGATAATAAGGATTTGCAGTAATCCAGCCTAGAAGTAACAAATGCATGGACTAGTTTTTCTGCATCATTTTTAGACAGGATGT